GCACCGCCGATGAGATCGCTTTCTTGACGGTGAAGCATATGGATTTCTTCAAGGGCGAGCCGACGACGGAGATCCTCCCTGGCGTTTTCGACGACGGCCTGCTTCAGCAGGTTCGGTGGCCTGGCGTGGCCCACGCCATTGCCGCCCGCGGCTTCCAGGGAGACTGCGGTTCTTCCCACCGCATCGCCCTCCCAAGTGGAAGTCGCGGTGGCGTTGGTGATCGGGCGAACGCTTGGCCGCTTGAAGGTATCCGCTGATGTGCTCAAGGCTTTCTTGAACCCCAAGGAAGAGGACGCTCTGCTGTGGGCTCGGTGGGGCGGCTGCGCTTTCGTGCAAGGGTCGCGCAGACAGGCCGTCGCGAACCCCTACGACCGCGACGCGGAGAAGGCGGCGCTGGATGCCGCGACGCTAAACAAGCACGGCCTCGACCTGCTCAAGCGTATCATCGCGCCGTCTCTGGAGGATGTCAGGGCAGAGGAGGACTTCAACGCCATCCTCGCCAGGGCGCACGTCATCGTGGTGACGGACCTCGGCGTGCATTGGCGCGTGGCATCCGCCAACCTGCAGGATGGTGCAGAGTTCATGCCGTGGCCCAACCCCAGGAGCCCCGACCTCTTCGTCAACGAAGTGCGGGACACGACGTCGCCAGCCATCCGCCCGCTCCCCTCAGACTACGCCGAAAAGATGGCTTGGTCGATTGGGTACATGAGCAATGTGGTCGCGGGCCTTGACGTGTCCACTATTGCGACTGTCCATGTTGCTCCTATCTTCGGCGATGGCCCTGCGCGCGTTGTCTCCGCTGTCGGCAACGTTTCAGGGTTCGTTCCAGGCGCGGCCAGCGCTCCGCCAGCCGCCGCGGCCGCTTCGGCGTTTTCCCAGCCGCCAGCCGAGTTGTCCCAGGAGGAGGACGTGTTCGGCTTCGGCGGCGGAATGGACGAACCGCCAGAAGACAGCTCGCGCGCCGCCAGCTCCGCGCAGCCCAACATCGTTGGGCGCTGCGGCGAGCTCACCAAGGAGGACCAGGACGAGCAGCTCGCGATTTTCAAGAGCCTCGCCAAGGCGCACCACGGTGCGTTCGAGGACTTGTCCTCGCCTCCGCCAGTGAGAAAAAAAAAAAAAAAAAAGGAGAAAGAAAGAGAAAAAAGATGAAGAGAAAAAGAAAAAAAGAAAAAAAGAGAAAGAAAAAACAAAGAAGAAAAGAAAAAAACAAAAAAGAAAAAAAAAAAAAGGGAAAAAAGAAAAAAAAAGGAGGAAAAGGAAAGGAAAAAAAAAGAAAAAAAAAGAGAAGAAAGAAAAAAGAAAAGAGAAAAAAAAAAAAAAAAATAAACAAAAAAAAAAAGAAAAAGAAGAAAAGTGAAAAAAAAAAGAAAAAGAAGAATGAAAAAAAGAAAAAAAAAAAAAGGAAAAAAAAAAAGGCGAGGGTGCTCATGAATGGTCTTGCGGTGGGTCCGTTTGTCACCCGTTGAATCCGGGATGAGCAGAGGGCGATCTTCGCTTCCATTGCCGCCTCGGCCCACGGTGAAACGATCGACGTCGAGGATGACGACGGTCTGTCGGCAGAGCTCGCGCGCGTGATTGACGAGGGGGGGCCGCCCTCTGAGTCGGCGACGGCGCGCCGCAGCGAGGCTGACTGAGGAGGCGGCCGCGCCGTGCGAGCGTACATGATGCGCGACGCAGTCGTAGCCGATGGCAGTCGGTGCGATGCGTGCGCGCACGTATGAACCACCATCTTTTGTAGACCTCTATGCGTGCGCTCCGCCTGGAAACATAGCAACGCAACGGTTGCGACAGATTGGATAGCAATCGATGGAATTGCGGTACCTACCCTCATGCTGACGGCCGGCCGCATAGCGGAGGAGGGGGAGAGGGGAAGGAGGAGAAGAAGGAGTGGAGGGGGAGGAGAAGAGGGAGAAGGTGGAGGCGGAGGAGGAGGAGGAGGCGAAAAAAACCCCAAAAATTAAAAACAACAAAAAAAAAAAAAAAAAAAAAAAAAAAACTACGATTTATAACGAATTTTGGCCGCCAGCCGTCCCAGAAATTCTCCAGAAATCATGTGTTTTTTTGTTTTTTTTGGTTGTTTGGGTTTTTTGTTTTTTTTGTTTTTTTGTTTGTTTGCAGGTTTTCTTTAGTTTCTGACGATTTCGATGATTCCGAGAAGGAATAGCACGGGGAGGAGGAGGAGGAGGAGGAAGAGGAGGAGGAGGAGGAGGAGAGAAAGGAAGAGACAGGAGAAGGGAACGGAGAAAGAAGATATCGATCGGCGGCCGCGGTAAAGACGAATATGTATGATCATGTGGGGGGGGGCTACCATACATGTATACATACATACATACATGCATGCATGCATGCATACACACATGAATGCATACAGACAAACAGACAGGCAGACAGACTGACACACATACATACACATGTGTACACAAGCATGTGCATATGAGACATGTACACATGGCCCCAGGAAGGTCCCCAAAACGAGCATCGAACTACCAGACTCCTTCGCGCAGCCCTCTGGCTCCTGGGCTGGCCCGAGGACGCCGTGCATACCTCGAGCTCCTCGGAGAGACGCGCCGCGGGCGGGCGCGGGCGCGGGCCGCCAGCGGTCGGCTCCGCGCCTCGCTCGCCCGCCGCTCGCGAGCGAGGGGCGCGCGCACGTGCGGGGAGGGAGGCCGGCCATCGGGGGGGACTGGCGGCCGAAGCCGCATGCTGTTTTCAACGCCTCCTTTTTTTTCGATCCGCCAACTGGTAATCATGGAACTGTGTCGCGAGCTGGTCAGTCCACGCGCTGCGAATTCGATGGCAGCATCCTGTTTAAACGCCTCTTGTTTCGTGCTTACACCTGCCTCCAATCGACTTCTGAGCACGCTCGGAGCACTGCGCCAGAACACGGATTGGGCACAGGGGCTCCGTCGCCGAGGGCCCCAAGCAGTTGCCCAGAACACACAGCATTGCAAGGTGGAGGGCCAAAGCTTGAAGAACGGAAGGATACCACTCCACAACTGGGGCTGCTGCCAGCCCTCGCACCAGCTGCAGAAGTACCATGGCAACGTACACCCCCTCGAGGAACTCCTCCGACTACATGAACTATGGGCGGGGTCGAAGGTCAATGTCTCCGATCCCTGGATGACCCCAGCCGTTCTCTCTGTGTACGATGTGTACATACATTCCGTTGAATTATGAACGCACACTCAAATCCGCCGGCCCCCTTGTGGGGCCACCAGGCTGTAGGCGCGTGATTCGCAGTTTCCTGTACCAGTTGTAGTTTCTAGTTTCCAGTGTTACAGTTCTGCTTCTTGCTGGTTACTGTAACTAGTTGACCTTCTTGCTGGTTACTGTAACTAGTTGACTTCTTGCTGTTTACTGTAACTAGTTGATTGACCGCGCGAGGGGGGGGGAGGCCCAAACAGGATTTTCCAGCGTCCTCTGGGCGCGTTGTCTGAATTGCTGGGGGGGGCTCGACACCCCTCACGCAGATCCGCGGGGTCAGGGTCCAAAAACACATGGGATTTGCCACATTTCTGAAATTCGGTGCCACCCCTCACGCAGATCCGCGGGGTCAGGGTCCAACAACACATGGGATTTGCCACATTTCTGAAATTCGGTGCCACCCCTCACGCAGATCCGCGGGGTCAGGGTCCAAAAACACAAGGGATTTGCCACATTTCTGAAATTCGGTGCCACCCCTCACGCAGATCCGCGGGGTCAGGGTCCAAAAACACAAGGAATTTGCCACATTTCTGAAATTCGGTGCCACCCCTCACGCAGATCCGCGGGGTCAGGGTCAAAAAACACATGGGATTTGCCACATTTCTGAAATTCTGTGCTACCCCTCACGCAGATCCGCGGGGTCAGGGTCCAAAAACACAGGGGATTTGCCACATTTCTGAAATTCGGTGCCACCCCTCACGCAGATCCGCGGGGTCAGGGTCCAAAAACACAGGGGATTTGCCACATTTCTTAAATTCGGTGCCACCCCTCACGCAGATCCGCGGGGTCAGGGTCCAAAAACACAGGGGATTTGCCACATTTCTGAAATTCGGTGCCACCCCTCACGCAGATCCGCGGGGTCAGGGTCCAAAAACACAGGGGATTTGCCACATTTCTGAAATTCGAACCCATCACGCACATCCATCGCAAGGCGTGGTAACCCAAACTGCGAGAACTCCCTCGGCCCTTTCATCGCAAGGTGTGGTAACCAAGCCCTTAAACCATACACGTCTTACCAATCGCCAGGTGTGGTAACCCCTCTTGTGATCAGTTGGTTTTGCTGATTGCGACTCGGCTTCGCATGAAGTTTCGATACTGCTTCACGACAGCGCCAAGGCCTCATGACTTAACTCTTCCATGGCCCATCCTCCGAGAGAGGGGGCCGGCGGCAGGGGGCGAAGCCCTTACGGATAAACAAACGAACAAACAAACAAACATCTATATACAGTCCCCAAGAAGCGCTTACACTTAGGAATTTGTCACTTGTTGTCTACGGAACTGAGCTCGTGTGTCGCGTCCGCCGCAGTGTTGCCGCCGTCGCCGCCCCGTCGCCGCCTCATCGCCGCCCGTCATCTGACTGGGCTCGTTTGTCGGGACCGCCGCCTTGCTGCCGCCGACACCGCGACGACGCTTCATCGCCGCCCGTCGTCTGGATTCGTTTGTCGGATCCGCCGTCCTGTTGCCGCCGTCACCGCCCCGTCGCCGACTCGTCGCCGCCCGTCCTGTGGTCTCATTCGTCGGGTCCGCTGCTGTGTTGCCGCCATCGCCGCCCCGCAGCCACCTCGTCGCCGCCCGTCGCCTGGGCTCGCTTGTCGGATCCGCCGTCCTGTTGCCGTCGTCGCCGCCCCGTCGCCGCCTCGTCGCCGCCTCGTCGTCTGGGCTCGTTTGTCGAGTCCGCCGCCTTGTTGCCACCGTCGTTACCCCGTCGCCGCCTCGTCGCAGCAAGAATGACTGCACCACACAGATTGCACGACATAGATTGCACCACGTCTTCGCGACCATTCCGGCTAAAGCGTCTACACTGCCGGGCCTCTTTCCACCTCGCAGGTCCGAGGGAAGGCGCGCAGCCCGCCTTTGCCGCTCTGGTGGAGGCGGCCGTGCGCGGCGCCTTGCTGGGTGGCGCACGGCTAGACGCCCCAGGCCAGCGAGGATGTTCGGCGTACGCTGGATTCCGTGGCTTGGAGGCCCTCCCCCCCCTGTGTCGCACCCCCATGACTGGACGCCCGGCCTGCGCCCGCAGTTTCCCGTCCGGCAGCTGCATGATCTCGAAGGCGACCTCGACGCCGGCCTCCACCTGCGGCAGGAGCTGCGGGTCCAGGTCCTCCCACGGCCGATAGAGAAACTAGTCCCAGGAACCCGTCCCAAACATGCTCGCGTCGCAAAAAATCAGGACGGGACGTTTTCCTGCTCTTTTCGGCCCTGGGGGGCCCTCGCCGGGCCTCGGGACCGTGAAAAAACGGCTCGGGACGAAGAACCGGTCCCGGGGACAGGGTCGGGACTTCCAGGGACGCCGTCCTGGAAAAATCGGGACGTCGTATGTCTGGGGTCTCCTTCTCCTCCCACCTGAACTCCTCCTTTCTCCCCTGTCCCACTGCCCTCCCCCGTTCTGCCCCCCGCGTCGTGGCAAGAGCACGGCGGAGGGCTCGGTGCCATGCTCCGCCTCTATGGGGGCCCTCGACGCGGGCCGTCAGAAGACGGCTGAGGGTGCAAAGGCAGTCCCGGGGTACAGTCGAGGTGTTGACCTAAGGAACCCTAAATTACCCTGTGTCGTACCCAACCCATTTGTATCAATGGAAACGAGGAGTTGGCCGAAACTTGCATGGACAATCAACTTGATGTGTAAGCTACTTGGGACACGCGCCTATGGCATGATGCGCAGGAGAACCATACAAGAACGAGGGGCGACAGCTACAGGTTCGAAAAGAACATGGGGAGTCGGGAACGCAGAGCAGGAGAAAAACGTGCGGGAAGCCGAACCAGCAGCACGGCAGCAGCAGAGGGAAGGTGACTGCAGGAGGAGAACAAGGACGAAAGCGGCGTCTAATTTGAGTCTGCGGTGGGTACCCACTGTGCTGGGCCCCCCAGCAGGCCTCGAAAGTGGCGACAGTTTCACAGATCGCAGCCCCCCAGGGATGGCGAGGTCTAATTTGAGTCCGCGGTGGGTACCCACTGTGCTGGGCCCCCCAGCAGGCCTCGAAAGTGGCGACAGTTTCACAGATCGCGGCCCCCCAGGGATGGCGAGGTCTAATTTGAATCTGCGGTGATACCCACTGTGCTGGGCCCCCCAGCAGGCCTCGAAAGTGGCGACAGTTTCACAGATCGCAGCCCCCCAGGGATGGCGAGGTCTAATTTGAGTCCGCGGTGGTACCCACTGTGCTGGGCCCCCCAGCAGGCCTCGAGATCGCAGCCCCCCAGGGATGGCGAGGTCTAATTTGAGTCCGCGGTGAGTACCCACTGTGCTGGGCCCCCCAGCAGGCCTCGAAAGTGGCGACAGTTTCACAGATCGCAGCCCCCCAGGGATGGCGAGGTCTAATTTGAGTCCGCGGTGGGTACCCACTGTGCTGGGCCCCCCAGCAGGCCTCGAAAGTGGCGACAGTTTCACAGATCGCAGCCCCCCAGGGATGGCGAGGTCTAATTTGAGTCCGCGGTGGTACCCACTGTGCTGGGCCCCCCAGCAGGCCTCGAAAGTGGCGACAGTTTCACAGATCGCAGCCCCCCAGGGATGGCGAGGTCTAATTTGAGTCCGCGGTGGGTACCCACTGTGCTGGGCCCCCCAGCAGGCCTCGAAAGTGGCGACAGTTTCACAGATCGCAGCCCCCCAGGGATGGCGAGGTCTAATTTGAGCCCCGCGGTGGGTACACTGTGCTGGGCCCCCCAGCAGCCTCGAAAGTGGCGACAGTTTCACAGATCGCAGCCCCCCAGGGATGGCGAGGCCTAATTTGAGTCCGCGGTGGGTACCCACTGTGCTGGACCCCCCAGCAGGCCTCGAAAGTGGCGACAGTTTCACAGATCGCAGCCCCCCAGGGATGGCGAGGTCTAATTTGAGTCCGCGGTGGGTACCCACTGTGCTGGGCCCCCCAGCAGCCCTCGAAAGTGGCGACAGTTTCACAGATCGCAGCCCCCCAGGGATGGCGAGGTCAAAGGCAGGCAGGGGGGAAGAGAGGGGCGGGAAGCAAGAAAGGAGACGCGCGAGCAGTGCTCTATTCAAAACGAGAACCCAACGCAGGAGGGTTGGGAATAAGGAACGAGGCCCCTATTTTCCATAAGTTGAACTCCGATTTCGTACCGAAAACCTAAGGAACATCCAAGGCAAGCTGCGAAACAATTAAGGAACACGGAGCCCCTCCCCAACGAAAAGGGTTCCTTCTTCAAGGCCCCGACTGTATGGGTCGAGACCTCTGGAGGTCCTGTGAGGCCTCCGTCTCATTCCTGCTTGGTCTGCGACGAGTTGGGTCCAGCATGCGGTCAGGCTAGCGACGGGACGCGTCCGCGGCATGCGGCCAAAGGAGAGGAAGGGCAAGATGGAGGATGGAGCGCCAAATGAGCCGGAAAGCGGGTCCAGGTCCTCCCAAATCATTGGGAGCCCAATTTTTTGAATCGCAATCGGTAGTGACCGATCGGCACTCCAAATCAGCCGCGACCGATCGCGACCGATTTCAAAATCGATCGCGGCCGGTCGCGATCGATTTTGCGGCAAACCGGTGGCGACCGATACCGGGAGTGGACGCAACAACAGTGGCGGTCGATCTCGTCGGTCGCGGCAAGAAGACTCGGGCATCTCGCCCTAAGGGGTACATGAGAAACATAGGATAAAAGATCTTGCCGTGAAGCATCTAAGGTTAGGTCGGGCATGTCCTCCTACAGGCGGGCTTTGGGCGAAGAGTTGAACTCTAAACACATCGAGAATGGCCAAAACAAAAAACAAACATGTCCCCAGGCTACTTTTTTGACTCATTTGGAATACACGTCGTTCATTTCTAATCGTGCTCATTTCTAATGGTGCTCGTTTCTGATTGTTCCTGGCCCCTGGTGGCCAGGAAGAGGCCCAGGGTAGAGCAATCAGGACATGAAAGTCTCTGGGCTCCCCCAAAAACCAAGAAACTCTCGAACAATTAGACGTGAGCCACGTGCATCTCCTCCTCCTCCTCCTCCTCGTCCTCCTCCTCCTCCGCCCCCTCCTCCTCCTCCTCCTCCTCCTCCTCCTCCTCCTCCTCCTCCTCCTCCTCCTCCTTCTATTCCTCCTCCTCCTCCTCATCATCCTCCTCCTCCCTTCTCCCTCCTCCCTGGGGGGCCCAGGACCCCCAGAGGCCGCCCAGATCCTCCACTGAGAGGCAGCGGTAGGGTGAAGTCGGGCCTGTCCCCCTACAGGGGATTTTCGACGAGGAGTAAAACAGACCCTAAAACTACTCCACAAATGATCAAAAATAGTCTGGGGACTATTTTTGGGGTATTTTTTGACCATTTTGGGTATGAATATTTTTTATGTTTCATCGAAAATCCCCCTGTAGGGGGACACGCCCGACTTAACGGTAGGGGGGGGACTGGCACAGGGGGGGGTGCACCGACCTGGGGTCGGCGACACATCGCCGATAGATCGGCGATAGGCCCCCGATAGCGAATCCGCACGCTCCTGGGCGGGTTGGGGCTATCGGACCCCCGATTGAGGGTCGATGCATCCCCCCCTGTGCCTATCCCCCCCATCGTTGCCCCTGATCTACCGCCAGGGCGTTGGCTTAACCAAGACATGATCGCGTCGTAGAAACATCCGGACGGGAGGTTGTTCCTGCTATTTTCGGCCTCGGGGGGCCCTCGCCGGGCCTCGGGACCGCGACAAAGACGACTCGGAACGAAGAACCTGTCCCAGGGACAGGGTCGGGACTTCCAGGAACGCCGTCCTGAAAAGGACGTCGCATGTCTGGGAAGGAACCCTAAACAAGGAACGAGGCCCCTTTTTCCCATAAGTGAAACGTCGATTTCCGATGGAAAATCTCAGGAACACCTGGAGCAAACTGTATATAGAACAATCAAGGAGCACCGAGTCCCTCCCCAACGGAAAGGGTTCCCAGGACCAGTGGGATCCCGGGGCGACCCAGGGGGCCCAAGACCCCCGGACCGTCCAGAGCCTCCGAGGGCTGCAGTTGGGTCGGGCGCGTCCCTCTGCAGGAGGAATATTCCAGACTAGTCAAAAAATAGTATGTGGACGATTTGTCGACTGTCTATGTTTGCACATTGTTGAACATGGTTTGCCTATGTTTGATGCTCCGCCCAAAGTCCACCTGTAGAAGGATATGCCCGACCTAGGGCTGCAGGCGCAGGGTGCCCTGAGATCTTGGCGCAGCACTTTTTTTTCCCTGCGGGCGAGGTTGCCTTGCTTTCTTCAGGACCCCGGGGCCTTCACAGATCGAGGCGGCCTGAAAGATGCAACAGACAGATGGGGCCCAGGGCTGCGGCCATGATGTTTCACGATGTTGCGTGTTTCCGCAGCGTATGATCTCAGGGTGGCCTCTGGCGCGCGGCTTGCTGACAGCTGCACGCGATGCGACAATCCCAGACGCCCTCGCGTTGCGAACAAACGCGACGGAACATGTTTCCCTAGTTGTCTTGGTCGCCGGATGCCTCACCTCGCCAGGCCCCAGGACCGTCGGTCCCTGGGAAGGGGTCTGGGCCTCTGGGGGGTCACGTCACTAAAGAACATGACGTCGGGGGTCAGGGAGGATGCCCCCAGGCGAGAGTGGCCTCTGGTGTGCGGCTTGCCGATCGCTGCCTGCGGTGCGACGATTCAGGAGGCGCGCGCGATACAAATCTTGCTATAGTGCATACTGCTGTACGTTTTTCGTCGAGTGTGAGCTTCGTGCCTGCGGAATCCTTGGGGCCATCCAGGGACACGAAACTTCTGCAGGAAACATGCCGGCAGAGGTGTCTACTGCAGGCAAGGGGGGCCTCTGGTCCGCGGCTTCCAGATCGTTGCATGCGATGCGACAGCAGCGGCCTGCGTGCTTGTGTTGCCCCCCGCACCCTGAGGAAACAACTCCCAACATGTCTTCGTAAGCACGATTCAAGCTCAAACGACAATTGAGCCAGATTAGGTCCGACTGGGTGGGGGAGAGCCGAACGAAGCGGGATTAGGATGGATTCAACGGGATTGTGCCGTTTTACGGCAATGGATATACCAGCGCCGATGCTGAATTCAGCCTCCCTGGAGTTGCATCCGAAGGACCCCGCGAATGCCGCGCACCGAGGGCCTCTCCGGCATAGGGCCACTATGACTCATGCTTTCATGTACTTCGCTGAATTGGTTCTGTGGGGCAGATGCTTACGACG